AAGTGTGTTGGATAGTGTTAATAAATAAACGAAAATATTATTCCTTTTTCATATTTTTTTTTAAGTTCTAAATATAAATTCTAAAAATTAAAACTTAATGTATAAAACTTAAATAAACGTATTTTAACGAATTTATTTTTATACCAACATTTTTAATATTTTAAAAGCATTAAAATTAAATAAAAAAAGGGTATGAAATCACTTTACATACATACATATCTACATTTGCATGTATGTACAACAACAGCTCCTACAAAAACACACTTGCAATGTTAAAAGTGCATTCGACACGGGTTAAAGTTGAACTAACCTTATTAAAGGAAAGAGCAAAAATGTAATGTGTGTATTCACCTCAAATATAAAAAGCAAATACCACACCACCAACAACATAGTACATATAAAAACATGCAAAGCAAAAATGCATGTAATCATTGCTGTTAAGCAAAGAGGGTCGCCAAGTATAAAACAGCAACACTTGTAAAAAAAAAAAGTAAAATTTACAAGAATATAGCGCCAGGGCTTACACGCGAATCAAATGCAGCAAGAAAAACTTAAAAAGTGGTGATAAAAAGGCACAGCAGGATCAAGTTTAAATTATCTCGAGAATTTTCGAAAATCTTTGCTTGCATTGGGTTTTAGTGCCCCTTCAAGCACACTTCTTGACTTTTCATTCGTTTTCGCTTTACTTATACAGTTTTACTTTGGTAACTTCTTTTATAACCAGCTTAGCGACGTTTGACAACAAAAATTTCGTACTTTCCTGCGCACTTAACGCTTTCGTAAGCAATAAGAAGCACAAGTTAAAGCACAGCAGCAGTTAACTTTTTATCTGCTTTACAGATAAGAGTTAGAAAAACAATCAGTCTGCACGAAAAAAAGAAATGTTGGCAAACTAGCTTGTTTAACTTCGCCGCAATGTGCGCCTGTACATGGCACGATAAAACTAGCCACGAAGCAATAGTGTGCGGCATGACCGCAAGTTGTTGTTCAGTTGAAATATGTATATTTATTTTAAAAATAAAATAAATGTAAATAATTGATTTCAAACCTTCTTCTAATAAACCTTTTCAAGGAATTGAAAAAATATTTTAAATTGTTAAAATGATAGCAACTTACCTTTTCAATGTTGTACTTTTCGAGGGCTTGTGTCGCACAATCAACAGCATCCTGCTGCATTTCTTCGCTCATGTCGGCGTTTTTAATAACTGCTTTGCGATCTGACATTTTGTTTGTGGTTTTCTTAAGTTTCTTCTAATAAAAATTAGCAATAAATCTGCAAATAAACTGAAATGGAAATTGAGTTTAGTTTCGAAAATTAGCTGAATTTAACAGTGTTATACAGATACTTAATATACATATGTAAATGTCAATGTGTTTTTACGTGAATACCTGTCTATGAAGACTAAACTCTACGGTGCTTTCTATTGCTAGAAGCACATAGATCAATACAATGCGTTGATCAGCGCCCCAAAGCATAAATGCATTTTGCACTTAATTTTTGGTTCCAATTGGTTCGGGTGGATAGGGACACCCTAGTCACCTTGGTCAGGTACGAGGCCTGCATTTAGGTTTAAACCACAGCCACCACGAATCTCCACAAAGGGCCAAACCCAATTAGCTGATTGGAGTTACCTGGTTACCAGGTTTAAGTCTTCAGTCTGACTATGTAAAATAGTATAAAAAATATACTGTATATTATATACCAACAAACAATGATAAAATCTTGCAAAATGCAACTGTACGCAGACAATATACAGCCATTTGCATACATTTTTTTTACAACTTTGCGCATTTGAATTTTTTACAAACATTCCCACACCATTAGTTGCCTCACATACCATTTCTGCGTATGCATATAAAGCTAGACATTGACGGGTCGTGTATATTTACAAACATACAAATACAAATTTCCATATCATTCAATTTAGTATATTTGCATCGCATGGACTTTTGAACAATCAAAAGAAAATGGCTTATAGAAATGGCAGCGACTCACGCGAATTTGTGCTAAGCCGCTTTTGATAAAGCATACCTTGTGGCGCAGAAGCCATTACCGTATTATTTTTGTTATTATTGACTAACCACTACACATGTACGTACGATAAGCTATAAGAAGCAAAATATACGATTTTATATATCTTAGACCCTGCGCTTGAGTGTGTAAATCTGCAGCTGAAAGCGAAAATGCTGTGCTAATTTTAGTTACGCTTGGCATATTCAATATTACTGCAGGCGTATTATAATACTAGTGAAGTTAAAAAAAAAATTGGATTTACTGCCGAAATTGCTGGGAGTGACGTCAATAACAAAAATTTGTTATTGTTAAAATTTTTATTTCATGGCGAAAAATACACTTACATAAATAACAGAAAGTCGTTGCAAATTTCAAGGATGTGGCACTCGTTTGTACATATTTTTAAACATAAATAATAAAAGCCGTTGCATACTTCAAGGCGTTAGTACTAAAAAAAAATATTTTTAATTAGCTGTTTATTAATTATCATTAATTTTGTTCACAAAATTTACCGATATTTATTTTATTTCATTAAAGCTTACATAATAAACAAATTATTAAATAAACTAAAGTACGCAGCGCTAGCATCAAAGGCTTTCGGCCTTCTATCTAACGTTTCAGTTTTTTGATTTTCAATAATTGATTGATAATACAAATTTACACAAATTCGTCTTCAACAGTAATAATTTGGTATTTATATCGTTAAAAAAAATTAACTTAAAACAGAAATGAGATTTCACAATTTTTAAAATCTAAATCTTCTAACCATAGCATACTATTAGGAGAAACTTAAAAATCAATATATAAAATTTCGCTGAAATCACGACAATTCCACGAATTAATACTACTTTAACGGTAATGCATTCCATATAAAATTCTGCGAAAACGGTATGGTAGACACGTAAAACAATTGAATTAATACAAGCACAAGCGCATATGAACTGTGTAATATCATGTGCTACACACACCAGACAGAAAGGATGTATGTATGTACATACATACCTACACACATACATACATGTTACCAGACTAAATTGCAGACTTCACTGCTTTAAATAGGTCAGTAAAAGCGGCTCGAAACGGAAAACAACTAAAAGGCCTTTTTTATTGTTTGAGCTTTCAACCACATACAAACATACAGATTTAAGTGAGAAATTGTGGTTGAAATCAACCCTTGGCACTCCTTTCAAAGAAGGCATTCAATCAATATGAAATATAAATTCCGCATTCTTTTACTTCTACGAGAGCTTTAGAAATTTTACTGCTGCCAAAGGACATTTAATAGACCATCTAACTCGCCATAGACATTTCAATAATTCCATAGTGAAAAAAAAATTGTATAGAAACAAAACAAAAGCAAAATGCGAACCATGAAATGCCACAAAATGATAATGAATTAACCATAAATGCGCGTGTCAGCAATAGACAGCATATGGCCAGCAGCAGCGACCCCATTCATGGGCAAACAGTGTAGGTAAAATAAAATAAAAGTAAAGTAAACGACTAACGAGCAGAAAGGCAGTCAGCAATTCGATTAGGTGAGGGCAATTAGTGAGCACAATTGATAATGAAAGTGGTGGCGGGGTTAAATAAGGAAATGTAAAGAAATGTCGCAAGGTAAGACAGAATGTGAGGCCACAACAACATTGCATGCTGTTTTTGTTGAAACACTGACTTTTTGTTGTTGTCATCGCAAATGAATGGCAGGTTAATTGCATTATAGGTGCTTGCAAGCAGACATGAAGCGCGACAAATCACCGTTAAATGTACAAACAATACTAAGAAATCAGCAATAATGTGAAAATTGCAAGCAAGTTGATAAACTTGTGTACATATAAAATTTGCACTAAAAGAAAAACCTTCAAAATTTTATCAATAAATAATGTGAATGCCTTGAAGTATGCAATAATTTTTTTTTTACTTTTAGCTTCTTTGTTGTATTACAATAATACAATATATTACATTTTTTTCATATATTTCAATTTGCATACTACTATCACAATTTCATTCAAAGCGCTTTAATCTACTACAAACTACCTGTGTTAAATACTTTTAATACATCGCCATCAGACTAAGCAATAGAAATGTTTATTTGCAAAAAATTATAATAGTAAATTTCTCAAATTAAGAAATAAAATATTTGTGCAGTCGCGATTGCTCAAATTTAACATTTCATTAACCAAAAAATAACGTATACGCCATGGTGCGCATATTGTTCCAATTAATCACAACACACCGAGAGTATAAATATGACAAGTGCCAGGAAGAGAATAAAGAATAAAGAGAAAAACACTTGAAATCCTTAAATATTGCTTATTAAATGCCCGCAATTGAATTATCGAGTGAATAAACTCAACTCTGCAATTAGATAACACACAGCAATGCACCAACAACAAAATACAATTCAATAGCAAAGATCAAAACGAAATGTCATGCAAACTGCCGGCAAAAAAATACCTGTTCGTACATGTATGTGTCTGCTGTTGATCAACGGCAATAAAACTGTGCAAAACCTACACAATCGGTGCTGTCAAGCATATTCAATCACACATTCACGCACATTGCACGGACTGACAACCAGCGCTCAATACCCCGACTGTTTAATAAATGCATATAACGACACGATGTAACAAAACGTTTGGACGGCTGTATGGCAATTTGTCGTTGAAATTATAAATTGTGCTTTATCAAAACGGGCAGACATATCATCATGTGACAGCTGACATTGGTGTAGGTTAAGACGGTAACAAAGCAAAAAAAAAAATGTGAACAAACGTAAACAAATGGAAAGTAAAAGTGTGCAATGCATTTGTATGAATATAAAGTGATATTAAGAAATAAAGTGTTTAAATTGGTTCATAGAAAAGTGAATTGCAAAGTTTTAAAAGTAACTGAAATACATATGTATGAAAAGGTTAGCGCCAGTAGTGAAAGCATCATCTATTTTTATTATCAACAATTTATTTTTATGTGCTTTAAATTATAAAATAGAAATATTATCAAAAACAAATTACACGCACACTTCAAATATTTGACAAACAAAAAGAAAATGCTGAAATAACATGGCGTCGTACATTTCCAATTCAAATATAACCTGTGTGGGCGGTATCGCATGAAGAAATTTAATTCTGTGCGTACATGTAAAAAGATGATTTCTTTTAAAGGTTGAGTGTGGATTACTAACCTGTGTAGACAAAAAAAAATTAATAACGACGTATGCTTGCAGTGCAGCGTGTAAGGGTTTGAAAGTTTTTATTGCATTTTTTGCTTAAACGGCAGAGTTGAAAAATATTCAAATGAAACTATCGCATCAATAAAAAAAAATTGTTTAAAAAAACTATGATGCCTAACAACAACAAATATGTATAAAGTACAACGCTGTAAACAGTTTTTAACGCCCTCATTTTACTGACAACTTTTTATTATTGTTTTATTTTTTCGTAAACTTTTTCCCTCGAAAACAACTCACACTATTACCTTGTAGCATTCAGCTGTGAAATGTTAGTTAATTATACTGCGAAATTTCTCAAAATTGTTTTTCTACATTTTTACCAAAGCAATTTTCTTTTTGCCCCAAATATATGTGAGTACATATTACGTGTGATATTTGTTTGTGCAATCATGCCCTGTATGCATATGTTGGTATGTAGACGACACATACATATATTTATTGCTGTCGGCAGTCGGCGCAATATGAAGCTCAGGTGATATTGCACACACTTCATTTTACTATTTTGCTTTTGTGTATGCAATATAAATGATGTTTGCAAATGGTTTTGTTGTGGAAACGATATAATATGATTTATACCAAAGCATTAGCGGTATTACTAGCCAGTTTAATATTTCAAATTTTTCGATTCTTAAATTTGAAAAGGCTTATAATGTATAAAAACACCAGTAACTATCAGGCATAAGCATGTGGAATGGCCAAAAACACTATACTAACTTTGTATTTGAACTTCATATATTTTCAAATGTTACCAATTTTGTCAATAAGCTTCTATTTTAATCAAATATTACGTCAGTCGGCAAACCAACAATCTACACTGGTTTAGCATATTCCATAAAAACACACCAACGAATATTTAGCCGATGACCATTTTAAGCCATGCCAAAGTTTTTGAGCTTGCAAGAAAATACTGGATTTAGACAAAAAAAAAGTTTTTTGTTGTTTTTTATACCAGTATGTAAATTTGGTGCTTTGCTTCCGCTAAGCATGAGTATAGTACAAAATGAAACTGGTATGCCATACGCCGTAAAGCTTCTTCTATTTCTAGCCATGATTTACACTTTACTTCAATAGATGTAACGTGTAGCATCTACACATGAGCATACATATTTCAAAGTACCTGAAGGTAAGCTTTTTATTAAATAAAAAGAAAAGTAGTGGATTAGCATGTTGAGTTTCCGCTAAAAAAAAAAATCACGTTGTTTAGCTTCTCGAACTTTCATTCTCTTGCTAATTATGAAATCCGATTTTGCAAAATCATTAGCGTACCGCCTGCTGGTTGGGTGTATGATTTAATGTCACCACCATCCTCTTTTTAATCGAAAAGGCTACACTTGCAACAATATTACCTGAGGGTCGACCATCGTCTGCTTGGCCCATCCTGTGCCAAAGATATACCAAAAACAACAAATACTCCACAACAACATAAGAAGTATATGTTTGCCGCATCAACCGTCATTCGTCACATTTTAACGAAAAACATTTACGGCAATTTAGTATTTCTTTTTTTCACAAGACATTTTCATTCGATTTTCACATTTTCTGTAGATTTACAGCGCTAAGCTTTAACTTACCTGTACAATTTCTGCTAGTTTTCAGCAAACAAATCTGATTTTTCAGCTTTTTTCCTCGGGTTTTCGGCACTTATTTCTTCTAGTTTAGATTTTTTCCTCTAAAATTTTGCTTATCTTCTTTCACACACTCGATGAATTTCTCAATGAAAACTATGTTTTCTTAAAACATTTGAATGAACTTTGTGAAAATTTCAATACTTCAGATAAACGAATGTATAAAATAAAACAGTTCAAATCAAAATTCCTTTGTATAGGTACTTTTCAAAATATATTTGACTATACAATTTCCACCAAATAAATTCCACTCACGCTTGACATATGTGTTGTTTGCACGGCTTTTCGCGGTACTCTGCTATTTTGCTATACGCCGAATGCTAAAAAGCAGCCGAAAATACGCTCTCTTCTATGTTAATGCGACAGAGAGAGCATGTGCAGAGTAGGAGGAAAGATGATGAGGCAGCTTCTAGCGGGCGGCTTCTATCAACTTCGTGTGTTGGGTATTTTTTTTTTTTAACAAAACAGTATTAAGAAATTTCCCAACACCATTCACAATAGAATGCTGAAATGTCATTCTATAAAAATTGACATTAGAAATTTTGCAGATGTACGGAAGTGCCGGTGTATATAATTCTTTAATTACAAATTTATACAAATCAAGAAATTCAGCAAGAAATTGTTTAGTAATGTATAGTTATATAGTCAAATATGGGTGAGTGTAGATTTATTGCAATTCTAGCTGTTTTGTGTACTATTTTTGATGCTTTTGACTTAACTGTCAAAATTCGCCTATTCAAAATGAGGTTTGTTAGCGTTTACAACTGCAGAATTAGTATACAAAATTAAAATACCCATTAAATTAATTTCAATTATCTTTATACTTTTGTAACGATTTTAAATTTTTAATCCAATTCTGCAATTTTCAATTTTCGGTATTACAATATAAAAAATAATTATTTAGATATTAATTCAATATTTTTAATGCATTATTTGGCACTCTATATACAGAAAAGAATTATGCCGCAATTCCAGCAATATGCAAACACAATTTGCAACATATAAAACAAAAAATATATACAATAAATATACCAGAAACACACTAACAATAGTTATTTCATACTTCAGTAGCTGTCAAACTGTGTATATCCCCTACAGTAACACACGAAGTTTTCGCACTATTTATAATAATTTTTATGTGCAGTACACTTTTACTTAATTTTTTAATAAATACACTTTTTTTAAATGCAAGTTAATATTTTTTTATCCATTAATACTAGCACGCTATAAACGTACACTTACCTTGCTTACACTTAACAAGTAAAGCTATTTCTGAATTTCTTGGCGCGGTTTCAATGACTAGCTTACTTCGTTTCCTTAATACTCCATTTATTTCGTATTTTGTTTTTGTAGTAATTACTAACTAAGTTTCCCTAATACTTTTACAAATTTTTTGCCGAAGACTATAGTTTTATTGGGTTTGCTTTAGTTTCGTACTTAACACATGCTATTTTAAATATTACTTATCACAAATTGGCGGTTGAATAAGTTAACGTTGATTTTGCTGTTGTTAATGCTGCTACTCCTGCAACCACTTTCGCTGACAAGTTGTCTGTTTATAAATCGATAAAGTGGCAGGCGTACGCAAACACAGTTGTATTTCAGTGTTTTGGCAATTCCTACGCTCATTTGTCACTATTCCATAGCATTTACATATTTGGGGTTGGGGGGCGGTGAAACCAGCAGGAAACTGCTACCTGCTACGAAAATCCCCACTAAATCCTTAATTTTTATGCATTTAAGGGCTTGCTGTAGGGACTTATCGTTAGGTGGCGCTTTGTTGACGAAAGGAAGCATGCGCACCTCGAATTTATCGATGACAAATTGTTTGGCGTTTAATAGTGTTGCCAAGTGATGACCAAAAAGCACACTTCAACCAAAAATTGCATGTATTAATACGGAAATTTAGAATATATGTAAGTATATTTGTTTAATTATTAAAAAAAATTTATGATTTTTCTCATATTCATTTTCTGATATTTTTATTTCATGAGCGTCTTTCATATCACATTGAAACATTGAACTCTTTCAAGTAATAGTAAAAATAGTAAGAGTTGAAGAAAACATTAGAGTGCTTCAAAATAATTCTCTTTGTTTTAGAATTTTTATTTTCTAAAATTGAATTTTTATTTATTGCTAATTTAATTAAATATTACTAATTAATATATTTATTTAAGAATTTAATGTTGTGTTTATTATGTGTAATATGATTTTTCTCATATTAATACCTGCGATTAATATTTCATGAGCATAAACGACGCTCTTTAGAAATATTGAGAGATAAAAAGTAATAGTTGAAAAAAAAACATTATTGTGTTTGAAAATAATTTCCCCTCAATATTGAATTATTATTTATAACTAATTTAATTAATATATTAATTTGAGCATTTAATCTTTAATCGAATATAAACATTTAAAGGGAGAAAATGAGACATAAAAGAAAAAAAGACTTAAAAAATCTAAAACCAAAATTTTTAGCACCCTATTACACAAACATGCGTTTAATACCGTACAATTTGCACCTATACATACATATATATAAGTATATATATTTGTTGTTGCTTTTCCTCTTTGCTTACATTCGCATATTTCGCTGTTGCTTCGTACCTTCGTTTTTGCCTGTATCCAATTCCGACACACAATTTCAATTTGCTTGAACTGCTGCTACCTACATTCACCCAGAGAACAATTCAATTTGCACCTTCTCTATGTTTTAAGTTCTCTGCTACATTACTGCACTACATGTATACATATATGCATGTGTGTGTGTGTGTAAGATAAAAGGGCAATTTTTCTGTGTACCGAACCACTTATCCGGTATCTGGTTTTTGACCGAAGTGGAAATGACGGATTTATAAGCAGCTGTGAGGATTTATAGTTGTGTTTTTACACATAAATATGCATGTGTCAGAGAATGTTTTAAGTTCTCTGGTGTATGCTTGGGTGCGCATAAATTTACAAGTATGTTTTTATGTATAATTTTATCGTGATAATTATGTGTGTCAAACTGGTTTAGCAATCGATAACTTTTGCTTAAGTCCCCTATAAACCAACTATCGGGAAATTACTGATTAACTACCCAATAACCCTACCAGAAATTTCTGTTGAAGTTTCTATGAGTTTACAAAGGCCAAATTGGCCAAACTAACTGCAACTTTCGTGTATGTAGGATCGTTTAGCCTCGATTTCGGTACAACACGGCGAAACAAATTGTGGGGTCTCTTTTGAATTTTTAAGAAACATGCTTTATTTTTGAGAATATATTAAGACTTCTTTAAATCATTAGAAAGTAGAGATTTAAACAAAAAAACGTCTACCAACTTTTTTAACATGTATGATAGTTTTCGAATGAACATTTTTGCGCTTTTTCTATTTTTAATAAATAAAGGTGAAAAAAAAACATTTTAAGCGAAAAAATTACATTGTGCTTGGAGCTTAAATGATGAATTTACACCAAATTTTATAAAAGAAAATTTTTTTGTAAAAGATAAAAAAATATATTTTTAATAAAAAAATTTTGAGTTTTATAAAAGAAGTTGTAAAAAATAAAAATAAGATGACGAAAAAAATATATACTTACATATATTTTAAATAAGATAAAAAGAAATATTAAAAAAAGAAATATCGTAATAGTTAAAAATCGAATATTTTACTTTTTCGCATTAATTTTGAGCTTATGGGAAAAAGTGTTAAGACAAAAATTGTAAGCTTTTATTAACTATAACTTGAACACATAAAATTTTACCAGAAATCGAGTTAAACCCTTTTTCACCTCAAATCGTTCGTAAAATATTTTTCTTTGATTTTTGTTATATTATTTTCTATTTCTAATGAGTTGCATCTCACTATTATTTTTCTTTATTTTCATCCCCAATATAATAAAAAACAAGTCTCACAATCACTTCTGCTACCTACCAATTCGAAATATTCCTCAATCTGCACCACTGTACAAAACTACTTTAAATCCAATCATAAAAACACACAAACACAATCATAATGTATTCATGCTTTGAAAACTGGTTGTAGCGTTTCTCATGCTATTCATATTCCCACTCGTCGCTTGTATCGTGTCGTGTTTCCCGACTTCAGGCGCTTCGTTGCAAGCATATGTTGCCCACATGTGTAGATATGGAAATTCAACTTTGTCTACACGTACACACCCTGTTTGCGATAACTATCGGTTAGTAGATACTACAAAATAAGACATTGTATGGCTTACATACTCACTTTACTTGCCTGTCGGGTGATTTTTATCGTATACTGTGTGTGTTGCGTGGCATAGAAAACACAATATGCGCTCCTCTCAGGTATTCACGTTTATGTGTTTGTGTATGTTTTATATAGTGAGCGACTTCTATATCAATTTTTCTCACTCACATTGCATTTACTTGCGGTATATAGTTATTATACACGTATTTATACACATATATAAATATTTATGTATATATGTATATGTTGGTATTAGTTCATGTTCATGCGCTCGCTTCGGGCTGGGTTCGTTTCGTTTGAATTCGTGCGCATTCGTCTCAGCCGTACCGCTATCACATTCCTTGTTTGCTTAAGTAAATATCGAGGTAAGAAACGAATTTCTATGAAAACTAATGAACAATTATTCTTGTTTCCGCTTATTTTTGCCGTCGTTAGTCATTTGAAATGCGTATTAGTCATCGTATGATTTGCCAAATGGTTTGGCACTTAAATAAATATTGTAAAATATCCGCTCTTATGTGCATATATTTCGATTATATAGTTACGCTCTGCATTTCTATCGTGCATACGAACCGCCCGGGCGACTTTAAGCGTGTACAAAAACCACTGTATGAGAAATAAGTAAGCCATTGTGTACTAACACAATTTTGTATATACATATACTATATTTATACGCATGGCTTTCTAAAGCAATATATTTGTATGTATGAATGTACCCATTAACATTTTCCAACTGCGCTATCGTTGCTTTTCAAGTGTTGGGTAAACGACATTAAGCATGACATTGTGTTTAATTGCATACAATTTGATGTAAGGCTATATATATTGAGCAAATGTGCGCTATTCTCAAGTGAATACCCATATCCATCGTGTTATCGATTTTAGCTTTAGTTGGGGTTGTGCGCATAGTCAAAAAAATTTGTAGAAAGTTAGCGCTGAGTAAAATAGTGGACTACATGTGGTGGGCCTGACTGGGGTGTAGAGATGTTGCGCTTATAAATTGTAGATGCTTATGACATTGATTCAATTGCGGTCTGTCGTCTGTGAAGAATTGAGTTACTATAAAATAAAATAGTATAATTAAGGACAAAGATGTTAATAAGATGTATGTAGCTATGTATTTGTATTTTCATATATTCAATAATTTCAATCGATATTCTTGTCTCTTCATTAAGAAATATGTACATACATATGTATACGTATGTATGTATATATACATATGTACATACGTGGGTGTTATAAATTGAGTTTTCGATAGTTGCTTACGCTATGAACAAAATTTGGGAAAGCTTATATTACTATCAAAAATGATAAATTTATAAAAAGCAAAATAATTTAGTTTGTGGCTTTATGAAAAATATAAAATTTTCAATTAGTATCAACGGTGAGAGATATCTTTATTGTGACAATTACATACAGTTATTAAACACTGTACAAGGTTTATTATGTTTGCCACGAAGTCCGTCCGTCTGTATATATCGTCCCTCAGTTTTTGAGATATCCATTTGAAATTTTGGACACGTTCACTTCTCCCCAAGAAGCTGCTCGTTGGTCAGCACTGCCAATATCGGACTACTATGACATACGTACATATTATGATCCATATCATGATAAAGATCTTTTTCTACTCTTTTATGTTACAAGAAATACACCTGTGCTCTGGGTACTATAGCTTCGTTTAATAGTTTTATCAATCGGTAGTAATGAACTTGCGAATCTGACAAAACACCGAAATTCTTCCATTTGAATGGTAAACAATGTATTATAACTCAACAATCCCAATCCCGATGCTAGGAGCGCATCCGCATACGTGTGGAATCAGCCGAGTCATGAAAAGATAGCTTTAATAATAAATATTTCACGGTGCGAAAATGCAAGGCAGGCTGAAAATGTTGATAGCGTTTCTGGTCCTGGTACTGTAACAGCCAATGTAAGCACTGTTTTGAAACCCCGGGAGCTAAACATTGCACAAAAGCTATTTAAATAATTTTGATTTATGGCAAGTTAACGAAAAAAATCTCATAGACCGAAAATCTATACGACTCTTAAGCGGATGGCTGGTCACTTGCTACAATTTCAAACGAAAGAGGACGTGTTCGAATCGTTAAGGCGTCGCAAACGATGGCCTGTCCAGGATTGAAAGCTTTGATATATCTTTAATGGGATTGGTAAAGAATCATCTACTTTACTATGCTGTTCTTCTATGGTTAAATTATTAATTCGGACCTATGCTCTCAACAATTGGTTCGTCGGAAGGAAGCGGATCATTGATCCATTAGCACAACGCCACACACATCACCAGAAGCTCTGGGAGGTAGATAGGGAGATCGATCCTTGTGCATTCACCTTATAGTTCGGACCTGGCGTCAAGTTATTACTATCTGTTTCTGCCTATGGCGAATCATTTTACTGGTGCCAAATTCGCCTCAAGAGAAGTTTTTAAAAGCCAGTTTTTTACCAATAAAGACGAGGGCTTCTACGAGAGAGACATTATGAGATCACCGTCAAAATGACACCAAAACACACTTTTCAGGAAAAAAGTAGTTAAAGAAAAATATATATACATACATACATATATATTTATGTACATATACATGTATATAAAGTACTATATTTTTAAGTATTTTTTTTCGCTTATCTGACTTTTCCTTCAAATTTTGTTATGAACTGAAGCTTGAACTTTCTTAAAGCCGAGTCAAATTTAATCACTTTGGTATGTACATAGGTGCGTACATATACATATAAATGCATTCATACATACATACATGCTCACATAGTTTGCCTGTACCAACAATTTCAAATTCAACGCCTATCAAAAGTCCATTGCATGCATTTCCGTTTCCAACTGTCCACGGCATGCCAATGCAGGAAATTCACACGCACACCAGGATTTCGTAGATTGAGGCAAACGAAATAAGATTGGAAACGCTAAAAGAGACGAAAAATAACAAAGTGATAACGAACAACCGCCAACAATGTGCAACAAAACGAAATTTGCCCCACTAAGGCAACATTTTTAAACAAGTTTTTACCCGCCTGTCACAGCACTATACATGCGCTTGTACATACAAACACATCTTTTGATGTGCCGGTAAATTATCCCCCACTTTTCAGACACCGAAATTGGCGCCAATCGGTCAAAAGCGCGAGCAAGTAAACAAAAGCGTAACAAATAAGAAGCAGCAAACAAAAAAAAACAGCAATAATATTCGCTGATTGCTGTCAACCCAATAAAAAGTGTTTGTATTTTGCACAGCGTGTGGCGGCGGGTCAGGTGCTGCTACTGCTGTGTTTTGTTTTGATTGTGATTTTTAGGTGAATTTCTTGACGATTTCGCGCCACCACCACAGAAGGAAAAATAATGAACACCACGAAAATAGAAAAAACGCAGACGCATTTGGGGAGCAATGAAAATCAGCTGTGCGGCGCAACCTTTGTTTTGGTTGAGGTTTGCTTTGCTACGCTTTTTTATTTTTGTTGTTGCGGCGAGTACATTAACATACGGAAACATAAATAGACGCATCAAATATTAAGAAGCGCGCTGATAACAACACTAATATGCATAATTTACACGACGAAGGGGATATGACGACCGGCGTTTGTGGCGCACATAAGGTGAAATGAGATAAGCGCATTTTTGGCGCTAAAGTACTGTTAGTTTTACAATTTCAAGCCTTATAAATATTATATATTCATTATTATTTTTTGTGTTTTTAATTTTACCTTATACTCGTAAATATGTACATACATACATACATATGTCCATATACTATATGTGTGTATGAACATTTAATTGTTGCTATTGCGAAAAAGTTGATAATCAAAGAAAGCCTAACGGTTATACAATGTGAAGACACGAGCAGAATTACAAGTTTTTTAAATAAACTTCAAAAATCAGAAAACGACATGTGATAATTGTATTTCGGCGCTTCCATAAGTGTTAGTTTAACAATTTTGAAATTTATTTAATAAATTTATTTTATTTTTGTGAAACTATAAGAAGAATGTCTAACGGTTATTGGAAGTCAAGACTTCGAGTACTAATTTTTTGAAATTCAAAATTTGTTAAAAATTCAAAAATGTGTACATTTTTTTTGTTGTAAGAATTAAAAAAAAGTAAAATCTGCACAAAAAATTTATTAATATTTCCAGCAATATTACGTCTGAAACTATATATGTACATATGTATATGGTGGTATTTATTAGTAATTTTAAATAAAAATGGCGCTTTTTGTATTGTTTATTACTCAATATGTATGTACATATATATATTATTATACATATGTATGTATGTATTTACGGGCATAAATACTTTTCACATACATTTGTATTTTTTAAATTTGTTTTTTTTTTTAATTTTTCCATAACTTTCCACATCGGCCGCTAGCAAGTGCAATCGAAATTTCATACAATAATTTATGCATTATGCAATTCAGATTTATTTGTCAAAACACAGCATTTTCTGCAATTTGCCGGTATTTTTAACCACAAATTCAGCACAGTACCAGCATTTGATTATGCTGCCCACCACTAAATCCCCCATAGCTGTCGGCAGAGCAGCACGTATGGCTCTCACGTTCACCTGCATTATGTCGGACCGCTGTCAATTGTCAAGTGTAAACGAAAACTGCAGTCGTTGTGCATCAAAGGTAACAACAACATAAATAAAAAAAATAGAAAGCAAAGGAAATGAAATTGAGAATAAAAATTAAAAACAACGCACAGTGTGCATTAAACCGCACAATGCTTGTTTAATCAAGCAGTAGCAATAAAATTCAAATGCACTAATGCTGTTGGCGTTTTCAATGCTACACAGTGTGCATTGCGATTCTATGCGTTTCAACTAAATGCAATTTTGATGAACTTTAGTAACAAAAATAACTTAATACTTTACTATATATTTCTTACATTCATAGATAGGTATATTGCAAGCTGTCTTTCAGTGAAACAACTGGTGAAATTGGAGTATTGATTAACACCTAAATGCTGTTAAGGTCAAGCAAGCATATAGTTCTATAAATTTAACGTTACGTTTACGCAACGTGTGTACATATATGTATATGAGCGTGGAATATTTTGCTCAATATTTTCGTTAAAAAATCCTATGATAAAGTTTTAATTTTTTTTTATATATCTATGATTAAGTATTTTATAATTATATAAAATACCTGCCTTTTAATTATCTTATCGAAATACTGTGGGTATATACAATTTTTTCCTAACAGTTGTGCCCACAGTACAATTACAAGCACACAGTCTGAAATCAAATTGCCCGCTTGCCATGAACAAAGTGGAAAAAAAATTCCTCAGATATAAAGTAAAAACAATATACAACAAACATATTACAAACGCAGCCATAAGAACAACAACTATAATACATACATTTGTATGGAGATGAAGCAACACTGTGAGTTTCACAGTGGTGAAACCACACTGCGAAGGAGCACACAAAAAGGGGAAGCAAAAATAAACGAATAAGCAAGAAATGGGGGAAAATAGCAGCGCATATAGGGTGCTAATATATTAATATATGTATATATATATATAATATGTTAAGTATATCTGGAGCGTATATACTGACAATGTATTTTGATTGAATATAAATTTAATATAAAAATTTGTGCAAAAATACAACTACCCGAAACTCTTCTTTTTATCGTAGCTATAATTTTCTACACTATTGCAACAATTTTCATGAGCAGTTGTTTACAGGGCTGCACACCCTGTAGCACGTAATCTGGAAATAATACGAGCTAAACTGTATATAGCACACAAGCAAGCATTGAGCAGACTGTCGACAGGCAAGCAATCAACAACGGGTATCGCAGTAGCTCTTGTGCAACGAGCGCTGTGTGGGGTAGCAAAGAAGTGTAAATTGTATGAGTGTGAGCGAGCTCGCAATATGAAACTTTAGTGTTGTAAATGGATAGTAGAGGAGTATGGAGGAGACGAAGCGATACGACTGCGTTTGCCAAATGAGTGACGATAGTTAAAGTAGAAGGTTGTAAAATGACATTTCAACCGTTTCGGTGATCAAAGMAAATTGATTAACGCGCCAAAAGTAGCAAAAAATATAATTGAAGTGCAAAGAAATGTCAGTAGCGAGTGCAACACTGCACCCAAGTGTCAAATTTGAAGCTAAAACCAATTAGACTAAAAAGTACAAATTTATTTAGAAAGCCAAAAAAATTATTTTATAAATACATATTTAAAAGTGTAGAGAAATCCAAGAGAAACATTTGTATAAAAATATCTATACAATAGAGAATATATTGTATGAAAAAGAGAAATCCAAATACATCTACAACGAATAAAACGAACATTTCATATACGACAAGCGTATATAAGCGTTCGGAATTCAGTGGAAGTGGCATGTGAAATATAGAAAAACAGGTACAAGGCAAACGATAGCAACAACAAAAGCGAACTGTAATAACACAGGGTTGTATGTGTGCACATAATAAAATAACACAGTTCACCACACCACAGGTAGTAGTGGTAGACAGAGAGAGTAAAGTCTATATACAATATTTACGTTATATGTGTGCGTCATCTCGCTTTGGCCTTGTTTGACAGTTCGTAATTTGACTTGGGCACAGTCGTCTCCGTGCAATAATGCTATCTGGCTGTAGCGAATTAAGTGAAGATTTTAAATTTGTACGGAGCTCGTTGTGAAAAGTTGACAACGTTGTAAAATGTTTTTAACTCGATATAAAACAATTTAAAAAGTTTGAGAAATGTACCCAAGCAACCAGTGTGGTTCAAAATAATCGCCCATATAAGTAAACTTGAAACCGATTTCAAATGCTAGCACCACTCCTGCACATAAAAACGCTCCAGAGGTGGTAAATATATGAGAAGTTTTTGGTTTGTGTAGAGCAATCGTTTAATTCAACCAACGCGATAAGTGACGAAAGAAATATTCTTTCCTACGATTTGATTGTCAAAATCAATACAAACGGAAATAAAATTTTGTAATTGAACAAAATTTCTTTAGACGTGTAAAAAAATTAATTTCATATAAAGACAAGAGGCAACCAACAGCAACGAAAGCAAAGGAGTGACAACGAATAAAGGGAAGCGTCAAAGCAAAAAAAACTAAATTAAATAATAGAAGGAAAATAAGAAAAACTGAAAACGGACAGAAAGTTGTGAAAATAGTGTTGTAAATAAATACTTTGCTCTGGTGAAAAAGCAAACGTTGCGATAAAATTTTACGGAGAAAACTAAGGCAAATTTATATATGCGACATACCAGTTGTGTGGAATTGCCCATCTCTTTCTCTCCAATTGCGAACAGTGGATGATGTGCCTGTGCTCCAGCTGTCATGTATTAAATACAGCAATAAATTACATACGAACGGAAACCCTGACGGCAGTGGCTGCAATAACTGACGAGTGCAAATGTCAAGCTGGTTTATATCAAACAAAATAGCAACAAGAACATAAACAGCAACTTCTCTAAAGCACACCATAACAACACTTTAATACAAAAAATTGGTTGCAGCAACCCCAAAACAATAAAAAAATAACAAATGATAAAATGTTACAACAAGAGCATCGCCAAATAAGCCATGGCAAAAGTATGCATCATCTAACATTCCCCACAAACTACAAACAAACAATGAACAATTTGATCAAAGCTAAAAACAATTCGACAACATTAACTCCGGTCAGTACAACAATACCTGACTCAAGTAACCGCATTCAGGAGCAACTGCAACAAACAGCGCGCACAAGCGTAAATTACACAGATAATACGATGGTTTCAACTGCCACAGTAGCAAGACCACCCACACAGAGTGTTGGCAATTACGGTGGTAACAACACATCACCTTCAACAATGGGTGTCAATTTACGCGTCACTGGCCAATGCAGCCAGGGTGGACGTAAATATATGGAAGATTACTTCTCGGTTGCCTATCAACAGTCCGAGAATGCCAAGGATCTTGAATATGCATTTATTGGCATTTACGATGGCCATGGTGGCGCCGAGGCAGCTACATTTGCCAAAGAGCATCTAATGATGCAGATTATCAATCAGAAGGCTTTCTGGTCTGAATCGGATCATGACGTATTACGAGCAATACGCGAAGGATATATTGCTACACACTATGCGATGTGGCGAGATCAAGGTACTTAAACCAAACTATCTTAAATGTAATTGGTAATTTATTGATGTAGGTTATTTGATTGGTTTTAAGATGTTTGGGGAAATACTAACTTAAATTTCTATAAACAACTATGAGTTTTCACTTGAAGAAGGTAATTGAAGTTTGGAAATATTATTAATAATAATAAAATTGAGCTTATTTATAAAATAATTTCCTTATTAAACCATGAATAGGATATACTAATTTGTTATACTTAAAAGGAAACGTCGGAAACCATATAAACTGTTATTTATAAATGATTGTGGCGAGCCGAGTCGATTTTGCTATGTCTGTCTGTATACACGCGACTACAGCGGGTTTTGAGATTTCGCTCACGCCTCCTTTATCCACAAGAAGCTGCTCATTTGTTGGAGCCGTCCATATCGTGTCATTATACCATGTAGCTGCCATACAAATTGGACCATCGAAATCAAGTTCTTATATTATTTGAACAACCAGCAATGGTTCCATATATAAATTTTTTATATCGGACCATTATGGCATTCATATATCTAAATTGACCGATCAATATTAAGTTCTTATACGGAACCTTTCTTATTTGTAAATTGTATTATAGCCTCGGTGCAACGAAGTTTGCGTTTTTTCTTTTTTCATTTCACTATAAAAATATGTATTCATAAAATTATTATTAAATGTAATTAGTGAAGTAACAATTCACCAAATACATATTTTTTATTTTGTTCATTGTCTCACAAGCCGTCAGTGTACTTCACCACTTATCTGTTCCGTGCCTTTAGTAAATAACCTTAATTCGTAGCGATTTGAATATAAGTTTTCCCCCCATCGTTTACTTAAGAAACATACTGTGCACGAAGGAAAAGTGTACTAGGCACGACGAAATCCACAGTGGAATATTCCACACACAAACTGAAAGCACAGAAAACGTATAGAAACGAGTAACTGAAAAAGTGAATATATAAAATGTTCATGACAACACTGTCATATAGTCGAATGGGAGCGACTCTTATGTCGATATAAGCTTTTGTTGTATGTGTGCTTGCGATGAAGGCATTTAGCTGTGGTGACTTCACTTATATAAATTGTATTTTGTTGCCCTTGCAATGTGTCAAAACGAGTAAAATGGTGGTGTGTTTTATAATATATAAATAGTACTGTTATATATACACTGTACGAGGTATTTTGAAGTGGTGGGATGATGGTACAGTGTTGCCTAGCAGAGGTATAAATGAGTGGTGGTTTATTATAGTAGGCGGTAGATGTATTGGTGTGTGGGTAGTAAATAGCATAATACCGGAGTGAAATCTTTTGAAGTAAATTTTGTATTGCAATCGATTTAATCTTCTTAGAATATCTAACGAAATTTCTTTATTATATTCATAAATGTTGAGGATTTTTTATAGGCTCTTTTAATTTATTGTTTATACGTTCTTCTTATTTTAAATTCAACCTTTTTTGCAATTTGCATTTTTATATACATAATTCAATTAGTTTTTACCTTTTTACTCCTTCGTATTCAAATTGTACGTTTCGTGTGTTTTTACATTCTTATGCATGTACGTTTATCTTGAACTCATAGCTATTTTAAATTTATTGTTAAACTAGTAAATGTACAATCTTAATTCATAAAAGAAGCATAAATATACATACGTACATATAAGTTACAAGAAAACGTTAATTGAATTTGCATTCTGTGTTGTAAGTTTTCCCCCCAGTCGTTTCCAGATGCAACTCTGTGCTATAATTCACCTTTTCCTCCGCCGTTCACATTTACTGCAAATCTGCCATTTACCCGGGGCCTTAAAATATTCCCACTCTGTGGTGTTAATTAGATTACTCACCTTTCAAATAAACACTGCGTTTATCAAGCAGATGTTGACATTTGTAATCCCACGAAAATTTTCATGTCTTCTTTACATTCCTTTTGGAAATTTTATCATGCTATTTGTCACGCTCGCTCACTCTGTATTTTTGTTATAATCTGAAGGTTTCTTTCGAATTAGTCTTTACACATCGATGTTACTCCTGCAAATAGTGAAACACTTGTACCTTGACTTTTTTTTTTGGCGTTAACGCGGATGTAAACAAAAACGTACAACTTGTGTTATGGAATGTCAAAGGTGGGAGTGGGGGTGGAGATGTAGATTTGTTTTCTTTTAATTTTTGTTTTGTTTACTTATCCGTTAGGCTTTTAGCCAAAATTAAAACGAATATTGTATTAAAAGTTTAACTTAAACATGTAAGCGCTTTAACATAGTATACTACTATATACTTACGTATTTTCAATATTAATGTTTTTATATTTGTGGGTTTTTGCAGAAAATTGGCCCAAAACAGCAAATGGCTTGTTGAGCACAGCGGGCACTACCGCCACCATCGCCTTTATACGTCGTGAGAAGATATATATTGGCCATGTTGGTGATTCGGGTATTGTGCTCGGCTATCAGAATGAGGGTGAGAAATATTGGCGTGCCCGACAGTTGACTATTGATCATAAGCCTGAATCGACGGAGGAGCGAGCACGTATACAACGCTCTGGGGGCAAGGTGGTAGTCAAATCCGGTGTGCCACGTGTCGTTTGGAATAGACCGCGTAATGGTAAGCTTGAATCCAATATAAAAAAATTGTAATTCTAAATAATACTTTTTATATAGCGGGTCATAGAGGTCCAATACGTTGTAACACACCCGTCGATGAGGTACCATTTTTGGCTGTGGCACGTAGTCTGGGCGATTTATGGAGTTATAATTCCAAACGTAACGTGTTTGTTGTTAGTCCAGATCCAGATGTACAAGTGATAAAAATAAATCCAAAGACTTTTAGGTAGGTTGTTCGTAACATCATGTATGTTACACAGCTCTGTGTATTTTTTTGATAAATTACTTTCGTGTATATTAGTTTATTACTAACATTCTTCTACGTTTGCAGATGCTTAATTTTCGGCACAGACGGTCTGTGGAATGTTGTCACACCGCAAGAGGCGGTCGACACCGTCCACGAAAGAGAATGCATTAATGAGCGTCTACAAGCATATACAAATGCCGACAATGGTAATAACGAATGGACGAATCCCAGTAAAAGTTTAGTAGAGCGAGCTTTGAAAACGTGGTCGTCGAAAAAGATGCGCGCTGATAACACTTCCGTAGTCACTGTCATACTGTATCCATCTGCCAATGACACAACAAACACTAACTCCGTGGCACCCAACACCCTCTCCTACAATAACTTGCCAAAGGATAGTTGTGGACTCGAATATACGGAGGTATGCGCTGAAGTGCCCGCATCCGACAGTTATGGTATTTCGTACGAAGAAATCGCAGAAAAGCACACAATGCCTGAAGCCTTCCGCAATTTCGATTATCTGATCGATGAAGAAGCTATTAATGCATCACTGCAAATGCAGCATGAAGAGAATTGTGAGCGTAAATATTGTAGTGAAGAAATGTCCTATTGGAATAACTGGAGTTGGGAGGAGCATCAATCGGATTGTGCTGGTGATTATAATCACCATGGGTCGACTTTGGCCACAAGTAGTGACGTTAGCATTTGTAGCAAAGCCATAGCAAGTCACAACACGTTGTGCAATACTAATGGTACTATAACAGGTGATAGCGATGAAAATGCCGTGGATGGCGTACACACGTGTGCAGTTAATGATAATGCAGAAAGTGAAGCAGCTGTTTTAAAATACGCACATTACAATGCTGACGCATCAAATGCGTCGAGTGATGTCAGCAATGAATTGGGGAATGCGGGTTTTATGACATTCGCTGAATCGTATAATTCATTTTTGAATGAACATATGTCACATGACAGCACCAACAGTTCAAATTCCAATTCTAATTGTCAAATTATTAGCGGAACGAGTGAGATATTGCAAGAACAACAGTTGTATCAACAGCAATGCATGTCCGAGGAGGAAGGTTATTCACTAACCAAGCTGGAAACGCGTCGTGAGCAACAGCGCTGCACCAGTGGTGTACAAACCTTTAAAATTTTCCAAACACTTGACACAAGCGGCACCAGCTACGTGCCGCAACGCGTAGAACAACAAGAAAACAACCTGCGGCGTGTGGTTGAGCAAACATCACGAGAGAATTCAAACTTGCAGCTTCACACTACTACCACAGCGCAACTCACAGTTGAAGAAACTAGGGAACTGGAGGCTGCGCTCACCTGGGAACCATCGGAATGTGCGCCACTGGCTACAACAATCAATCAGTATCTCACTTATCCAGCTGAACATCAAAAGCCTTTGGAGCTAAATTCGCTATTGCAGCAAGAACGGGAGGAAGAGCAGCAAGTCGCTTATGAGAGACTCGAAATGCAGCGACGCCTCGCGCAAACAAATATGATTAAGGTAGCGACAGTGCACGCTGAACGCACCGACAGTAGTGTTGAAGCTGAACAGACTGCCACGTTACCTATTGAAGAAGTTGAGGATGTGTTGGTCGAGGAGTATATCGAGGAAGACGACGTCGAAAGTGCTGAATTAGAACTAACGGAGACGTTAAAAACGGTACAAAAAGACGCAAGAGTACAAATTAACGAAATCTCGTCCAGCATGTCAGAACGTACGAAATGCGAAAGCAGCAGCAGCAATAGCGATAATGAACTGTTAGCGCCCACAGCTGCAATGCCAAGCCAAAAACCAAAAATTATTGAAAAAATCGAGAAGATTGAAATACTGCCACAGAAAATGGCAACAAAATTGGAGCGTTTGTCCAGCCATACGCAACTGACGACACAGAAAACACCACGCCACACACAGTACAAAAAGGCTACAGGCACCGCAGCAGTTGTTTGTACAGCGTCAACATCGGCGGCAAGCCATAAGCCAAGTGAAAAGGTCAAAGTTACATCGTACGACTTTACCTCTCGTCCACCCAAAGCGTGTCCAGCGCGCACCTCGCTCAAGCGCTCGCAGACGCAATTTCCCAATATACCAAACGAGAATGCACGCGCCAGTGAGTCGGCATCATCGCATGCGCTCAGCAAACGCCGGCGCTATGACGCCTACAACGACTATGTGCTGGGTGCGGTTAGCAGTACGAGCAATAAAACTATTATGGACGTCGATAAGACAAACAGCACTAGCAATAACTGTCGCAATAGGCGCTGTAACACCAACGCGTCCATGGTGCATTCTAGTAGTACCAACTGTGGCACTATCACCTTGGAGAAACGCCAACTGCGCAGCAATAGCGGCATGGTGGACTACTCCAAGCGTACCTTACGCACGCGCAATTCGCTCAGCAAAGACCTAAAAGCAAAAGCATCACTAACATCAACAATGCGTCGTGTGACCTCGCAATTCTTGCACGAGACCGCCGTCAGTCTAATGAGCAGCAGCTCTGCGCTAGCGCAACAGCGCCAACAACAACGCAGCTCGAATGGGGGCGCTGGCAGCGGCATGGTGTTGAACAGAAGTGGCAGCGGCACGAATAACCATAGTTGCAGAAACAGCAGCAGCGTTGGACGTCGAGCGCGTGCGGAAAAACTCTTAACGACGAGCACGGACAATTTGGAGGCAGCCTTCTCGCACGTGATCAATTTGCGTTCGCGCAAAGTGGCACATTTCGCTGTGGCTGCAGCAGCAGCGGCGGCCGCTGTCAATCACACACAAACTACGCGACGCGCGAAAGGCGTTGTCGGCAGTAGTCCATTGGTCACCACATCGGCATCCACAGTGCTGCGCCGCGAACGGCACAATTTGCGCAGTTTGAGTACGCGCAACACCGCCAGTCCGCCCGGTCTGATATCTGCCAACGGTCAGCGTGATTATGCTTATGGAAAGACCCAAACGCGCAGCGGTTTGCATGCAACCGGCATGTGCGCATACAGCTTGACGACCAACGCGGCGCCCACTTCTAAATTGCTCAATGGCACAGCGGGTGTGA